GCTCTTGGCTCTGCCACCAGTTGCCCTGGACGGGCGCTCCCTCACCCTGGCAGCCATCACTGTCTTGAATGGGGGAGGGGGCCAGAACCTCCCAGCAGTCTCCCAGCCCCATTGGTCCAGCCTCCTGCCAAGTGCCCAAGGGGGAACTCCCCACCTTGGCTTGGCTCAGCCCAGACCTGCAGACCTGCGCAGGAAGGAGGCGTCCCAGAGCAGCTGCCACTATCAGGGTATCGATCCTCTCTCCCCTCCAAACAGCCATCTGGGATGGGGGAACCCTAGCCAGACAGACTGCCCGTGTGCCCACGTGCCCATCCAGGGCAGCTGGGGTAAGAAGCGCCAGGCCAGGCCTTTTCCTGCACCACCCTCCTCTCCATAGGAAACCAAGGGGGGGTTCCTTCCTTCCTTTCTTCTTTCCTTCCTTCCTTCCTTCACCTAAATTTAGACTTTGCAGATTGAGCACTGGAGCAGTGAAGCTAGAGGTGGGCTGGCCCTGTCCCCAGCACACCACGGTGCACAGGCAGACCCACTTTTGTGCTGGAACCCACACAGGCCCAGGTCACGAAAGGAGCAGAGATCCGTGCCAGAGGAGCCCCTTCCCTGGCAGGTGTCCACACAGCAAGAGGGGGTGGCGCCTCCCCAAGGTGTGGGAAGGCCCTGATTCTTTGCAAATTCTTCAGGGCGGGCCCTGGGGCCACCATCCCTCCCTGTTCCCACAGCTACCCCAGCAGCCAGGTGGCCCCTATCTTCCTGGCCACTCCCGAGTCTGTACAAATGTTGCCTGTTACCTTATCTGTGGCACTGCCTCCGATGCAGCGCCAGTAGCTGCCCCACTCCCAGCCCACCTGGGCCACACTCTGCTCCACCAGCCACGCCCCCTGGGCGTCATGTCCATCTCGGCCTCCCTCTTGTGCCCCCGACCCGGTCAGCCTCTGTTCTGCACACAAGTATCACCTGGGCACCTACGTGTCGGGCTTAACTTCAGCAACACCCAAGACAGCAAGTGGCATGCGGCCAGGGACTTAGTTTTGCTCATTGTGTCCTCAGCACCTAGAACTGGCTGGATGCACAGCTGTCACGCCAGAACTGTCGCTTCATTGATCTAAACTTCTTAGATTTGCCCTTTACCAGTTTTTCTTGTGAGCCCGGGGAAGCAAAGCAAGGGGAAAGTACCAGAAAGGCGGGTGTGATCAACAGCCTCCTATGTTCCTGAGGAGTCAAACAAGAACCGAGGTGTTTCCACCAGTGTTAGCCACCGCCTGGTCCCCCGTGTCCTCAGGCAGAACAGCTTCAGAGAGAAGCCAGCCTGGAGCTGTGGCGCTGTCTCACGTGAGAAAGGAAGTGAGGAGACAGAGGCTCAGAGGCTGAGCTGTGCAACCTCCAAAGCCAGATTAGCCTTGACTTCTTGCCTCTTTC